CATGGGTGTTCCCTGCCCCCTGTTTTCTCTGATTAAACTCCAGAGTCTGATGCTCCCCTTTGGAAAGTAGGTTTAGGGTGGGCTACTCAGAGTGCTGCCGGACAGTGGGGAGGATTCAGAGTGACAAGGCTTGCGGCACCTTGGAGGGCACCCCCATGACGGTGTTGGAGGGATGTTGGAGATGGTGGAGAACCCTGAGGGGAAAGGAGCAGCTGTTTGGAATGAATGCATCTTAGTAAGTCGCTCCTCAGTCTAAAATCCTTCAAACCTTACTGGTGTTCTGGCTGTGAAATCCAAAATCCTTACCGTGGCACTCGGGATCTTCCACACTTGACTGTCCTCCTCCAGCCACATGTGAGATGCCTGCCTCCCCTTTCATTGCCCCAGAACTACTGGCCTTTGGTAGTTCCTCAGATGTGACTGGATCTCCCGTCCGAGTTTTGTGCAAATAGTTCCTTCCATGTGGTACAGTTTTCTTGTCCACCTTTCATCCAGCCAACTCCAACCTGTTCTTCCCTGACCCTCAAATGTGGTTGTTGTCCCCAAGTTTAGACTCTAGCACCCTTTACTTGCCCTTTCTCACAACTCAGCTCCCTTTCAACAGCTTGTCCACAGTGTCTCATTCACTGGATCATAAGCTCCTTTGGGAAGAAGCCAAGCCTGTCTCAATTATCCCAGGAACTGCCATGCCTGTCCCCTTGCCAGAGGGACAGCAGACCATTGAGAAATACCTGCTAAGTGAACACACACCCATAGCTTTTAAAGACAATTCTCTGAGCCACCTGGGTGGTGCTCCCGGAAACATGAGAACCGAATGGTCCCTTCCTGCTTTCTGTCTTTCAAATCCAGCTGGGAAGCAGGAGTTTTGAAGGGCAGGCAGTAGGGATGGGGATTCTGGGTGAGGCATCCATCCCAGCCAGGAAGCCAAACCAGGACCCTCACTGTGAAATAGGAACATTTTCAAGGGAAGTGACCCTCGGCTGGAACTCCTCCGTTCCAAGGCGGTCATTAACTTTGAACTGCTGTGCAGTGTGAATAATTCGCCTATGGAAAAAATTTAGCGCTGACCGTCGTGCTACTTTCATCAGTAAAATCCAGACGTCGTGACTAATCTCAGCTGGGTTCAGTGTGGACGGCGCCATTTCTGTAACATTCAAGTGTAACCTCTAGCCAGCCACACCAGCAAAGCCACTTGTTAGCAAACAAAGAACATGAGTGCTTTCAAGGTGGGTCCAATGGGAACCTGAGAAATCTAGAACCCTTAAAATGATGACTTGGGGGAAATAATTAGGCTTGAATTAAATTATTAAACATTAAAGGAAGATTTACTGTAATCATATCAAACCTCTGTATCTGGATGGTTTTAGCCTTCTGGATACGTGTCATTTGGTCAATCTTCTCCAAACCATTGACGTCACTTGTTTAGTTACCATTTGACTGCCTCCGACACACTCTCCTAGGGGCCAGTCATCAAAGTGAAAAAACCGTTTCTATCCACAAAGATCTTATTGTCCATTCAGAGACATACATGGGTAAAACGAGAGAAACAAGGAGCTAGTGGAATAACAACATATTTATGAGTTTCAAATTCCAGACGATACTTTCAGCCCCTGTGGAGAGGTAGACCCTGAAGAATCCAGTACAACCTTCACATTTTGCGGGGGGCCTCTGGCATTTATTCTCAGCTCAGGGGTTTTCAGTCCCCCAGGTAATCTCGGATATCAATGCTGTGTAAGACTGTATTCTCCAATTTAGCGAACACGAATACCAAAGGGTCTTAACTCTATTGATTACAGCAAGCTTTGTGACTGTTTTTACCTGCCTCACCTATAAACTCAGTATTCTTAGTGTTTTCAGCATTCTCAGCAAACTACTGGACACTGTTAAATGTATGGTTTTTATGACACTATTTCATGTCGATTTAAATCCTAGTGCTTGTGTTTCAATGACTCTACACATAAAATGTCAACTTGGCCTCTTTTACATGGGAAATTTAGATTTAGTTTCCCTAAACTAAATTCCAGCTACATTGCTAATAGTGATATCTTGATGATAAATATGAAATCTTTTCTTGTTTGCATAATTCTTGACATATGACCACAATGACTAGGGAAGGGATTAACACATGGTTTAGAGGAAATCATGGGATGGTCTGGGATCGACTGGAAGTAATTGCTGCCTTTTTCTGAAGCAGCATGAGCCTGGGAAGATGCAGGCCTACCTTTTGCTGTGAGCAGCAATCCTGCCACCAAACCAGCCCAACATCAGTGACAATTTGAAGAACAGAGCTGATATCTAACGTCAGTTTGAGCTCCTGTATCAACCCCCACCTAAGGATTCTCTACACTTGGCCCTGCATATAAGTGAGCCTAAAATTCCTTTTTATGTTCAAGTCCATGAGTTAGGTTGGACGTGACTTACTTGCAAACTGAAGAGACCTAACTGATTCATTCCCACAGGAGAAACAAGATAGGAAGGAAACTGCAGACAAGACAAATGTTAAGACACTCTGTATTTACTTGGTGTTCAATACACTTTCCTTTCCAGAGAGAAAACATACAGTTTGAGGTATCCCATTTAATAAATCCCCTGCTTCCAGCTTTACATCCAGAATTTCTGTGCCTATTAATCAAGGTTCAGTACCATCACACACAGTGGGTAAAATTTTTCCCTGAGATCATAAAGCTGTGCCTTTAGTCACAGAATAATTTTTCCTCCAAAATTCAGGAGAAAAAGAGGAAACTAGGAGACTTCTGGTGGTGGAAGAGGCAGATAACTTAGGTAGAATTCCTGAGAAAAAGGTGTAGGAATATCACACCACTAATTAATCTTTCCCTGGCTGTGAACTTTTATCCCTTCAACAGCTCCAAATGTTCTAGAAGGAAATTCATTTATTGCATATAGACATTTTATCTCAGTGCTGTGTGCAAAGCAGGTTGGCTTCTGCTAACTGTCTTGATGCCTCAGTTTCCAGTAAAATGCAGGACGAGGGAGGGATGGACAACCCTTCCCCAGTGGCATGTGGGAAAGAGAAAAACTTAGACATGGGTGATGGGAAAAAAATTGTTATCACACTATGTGCTTGGTCAGGCCTGCAATGCTTTTCAAAATGGTCTGAAATCAAAACAGCTCACGATCCTTCACAAGTGGGATTGGGGAGAGACCTAGCGGATTATCACCTCCAGCCAGATCAAGTCAGCAAAGCATAAGGCAAACGGACATCCGCATGTGACATCTAGTCTTGGTGCAGAGAGTCAACTCTGAAGGAGATGCAACTTCTGGCAGCCCCTTTGGGGTTGCAAGAAATCACATATGGAATGGATCATATGCTGAGACCTTTCAGTCTTAGGTGGTGTTGTCAGTCCTCCACCCACCATCCCCCTCCAGTGGCACAATGGAATGACTGTGTTCCCTAGTGTGCACTTCCCTTCTTAAAAATAAACAAGCAAAGGTTTCCCTAATCTGACTCAAATTCAACAGCCCATCCTGAGGTGGGGAGAATAGGAATGGAAACCAGGCATCAGGCAAACACGCTTGGGGACAACGTGCTGGAGGGTGTGCGGGCCTCTGAGGATGGAACAGTGACAGGCAGGCTGAGCGTCAGTAGTTGTGGCACTTCTGGAGACATCATTTCATGGACACAAGGCTCCCAACTCCATCTCTTAGGTTTTCTTGGGATAGTTCTGACAAGCTTTTGCCATATCTTTTAAGAAGTTAGGAACTCCATTCTGCAAAGGAAAGGAGACTGTCACTTTTATGTCATCACAGTGATGACTCTGATTCTTTGGGATGTGGCAGAGGCAAAGGCTTTGGGAATAATACATATGACAATAGGGCCCCTGATCACATTTCAACAGAACGTCACCACAGATGATGACAAGGTCACAGGCAATACTAGACGGCAGGGGCCACTGTTGGAAGCCACTGTCGTATATTTTGGCTTTTTCTAGTAAAAAGCTGAGATATTTCTGGGACTTCATTGGGCTGGGCAATAAGATTCTCTAAAGAAATGACAGCAAAGACTTGCTTTACAGAATCAGAGAATGGTAAGGATCAGGGGCAGGAGACAAGATACGTCATCCTTGGGTGGTGAGCATTGCCCAAGACTTTCCCAAATGTTGTCTTACTTACTCCTCTACAGGGCGGGAATACCCATCTCCAAAGGGAAGACATCAACGGCTTCCCTCGATTACACGGTCAGAAGCCGGGACAGGATTCAAAACACCACGTGTTTGACTCACAGCCTCTGGGCTTTTTCACTCTCCCAGGGACTCTGGCAAGCCCTCGAGCCAGTAAGTAGGACCTTACAGTGCAGGCTGAATGGTTATCACAGTTTCAGGCAGTACCACTGAGGTTCCCTCTCCTCAGAACTAAACAACAGGAACAAAACAAGAGGCTTCGCCCAGGCTTGGACACATCTGGTTGTCTCCAGAGTCAGGTCAGCCTAACTCCTCCATCAGCAGATACAGGGTCCACAGGCACCATGGTTCCTACAAGGAGCATCCCACTGTCCGGAGGTTCCAGAGAGTGATCCTGGTGGGTCTCACTGCAAAGCAGGGAGGGGCTGCCATTGCAGCTGAAGACTCTTTGTATTTGTCCCAGCCTCCATCCTGAAGTTTGACAGCCCCTGTCCTAACCATAGTCACTCAACCAAGCTGCTTCGAAGAAGAGCCTGGTCAGGCCTGAGACAGGGTGTCCCTTCTGCCTGACAGCCCCCTGGGATGATGTCAATATTTGTCAAACACACTTCCCCTCCTCTGTCTCCTGAGAGCTCACCTTGGCAGCCCAGTTAACGAGCCAGGACGGAATTTGGCCACCTGGGTTATCGAAGTAATACATGAAAACTAGAGAGGGAGAGAGGACAATTCAGAAGGAGGAAGCATGTTAGCAAGAAACATCAACAAACCCTGCAAACCTGCCCCCCTTACATTCAGGTCCAGAAAGTACAGAGGCGGGTAACAGGGAATTCAGGTGGACCCGCTCTCTGCCTTGCCTTAAGGGAGGCGATATATAAACATGTTGGAAAACCACCAAGGCACATTTGCTGCTATTTACTAAAAGCCTGGCAAGTGCTAGACCTTGAATATAATCTCTCATCTGATTGTTCCTCTCATTAATTGTCTTAATCCTAAGGGGTTAATGGAATTAAACCTCAGTTTAATGGAGACTCAGAAGAGGGAGCTGAGGTGTCCTAGGTGACAGATCTAACACTCATCAGAACTGAATTCAGATGTTGCCACAGCTGCAGGGCCAAGGCTGTTCCAGCCAGGCTCCAGCAGGTGGCAGCACGGCCCCACCCAGCTGCTGTCCTGTGGCTGGAGCTCAAGGCAGGCAGGTCCTGAGTCCCTGGGGTTTTGCTGAGCAGGAGCTGTGTCCTCAGAGACCATCCTGCCAGCCCTCCTGCCCACCCTGGCTCCACGTGTGTATGTGTGGAACTGATCTGAAGTAACTTACCAAACCTCTGGTTCACTCAGGTGTTCTGGTTTCACCTGGACAACGCGAGAATCAGTAAAGAAGGGACTGAGTCAGAATTAAACACCCCCCTGGCACTCTAGCCACGTTCCTGGGCTGAATTGAGGCTCCCTTTTTTCTCTGGCACCCGTGTCCAGTCTCTGACCTCGGGGAATAAGCACCGTGCATCTTGCGTGCCTGGCAGTCAGTGTGGCCTTCACATGGGGTGCACCAGGACGTGCCCTCTTTTACCTTTGCTCCCCCTCTTGCCATCGCTCTGGATTGCCAGCCTCTGCTTGTACTGCTTCACCCGGATCACACCCGACTTCTCGGGAAACTGAGGCACAGAGGTGCTCTGGGCCAGGATGACATGCACCTTCTGCCCTTCAAAGTCCAGCTCTTGTCGCTGCCGCACGTAGACATACTGCACCCCTAGTCAAGGCTTGACATCCAGGCCAGCATCTCAGATGTGCAGGAGGAAAGCCCTCCAGCCCGAAGCAAAGGGGGGTGCTTTTGTTCCTCCACTTGGCCTTTGCTCCCTTGCACTGTTACCTCCCTCCCTGCCCTGCAAAACTCTGGCTCCTCCCACTGGCGTTCTATTTCAGAGCACATTTCACCCTTCTGTGAATGATTCTTTGCTGCTTTTAATTATGTGGGGCACCTAGTCCTCCTTTCTCCAAGAAGGCACTACAAGGTATCAGGATTGGTCAATTATCAGCTGTGTGATCATGGGTTGCTTACTCAACATCTCTAAGATGCAGTTTCCCTACGCAGGGAAAGTGGGTAATGCTGCCCAGCAGGCAGGCTTGGTGGGGGCATTGGAGAGAGACTGGAGCAGGATAAGCATCCAAGAAACAATGGGGCCGTTGCTCTTTGTCCTCCCACTAAGCCCTAATCACTGACTTGTGCACAGAGAATGGTCAGGCAAGGTTGCTTACACCTGTTGATCATAGGAAGACATGTGAATACATGACTGTTTATTAGGCAGATGTCCTCCCTGGGTCTGGTTCATCAAAAATCACAAAGCCGCTTCATCTCAATAAACACTCACAGAACAACCACTCTGTCTATGGCGCTGTGAGAGGGAATACAATTCAATTCTAAAACAGCAGAAGTCACTATGTACTGAGACCTCACCTTATACAAACATCATGGATCTCACATATAGCACCAGCTCTGATCCTGAGACAGTCCCTGTGAGCTCGGCATAAGTAGCCCCATCCTGAGTATCCCCATCTTACAGATGATGAAACTGAGGCTCAGAGAAGTAAAGAAACTTATCAAAGGTCCCACAGCCCAGCTGAAGTGATGGAATCTGAATTTGAACCCAGATAGGCTACAAGATCTGGAGAGATTTTCATAGCTGCACATTAATGTGTTCATTAGACTTTCCAAAGGCAGGATTTCAGGTATCAAAATTGAAGGAATTAAAAGCTGAAAGCAATCCAGACAGTCCACAGTAACACTTAGCACAATAGTCCTGACTGCTGCCCCACGCCACTTTGGAGCCTCAAGAGCACACAGAGTTGTCTGCACCTCACCCAGGCACCCGGCAAGGGGTCTACTGTCCCCACTCTCTACATCTGATGAGTAAAGTTCGTAAATGTTTTAGAGAAGAAGTGATGTAGCTTTGACTCTGGCTTTCCTCTCTCCCAAGCCTTCTTCTTTCCTCACGGCAAATTCTGTCCCACAACTTGCTCAGCTCGTGTGATGGACATCACCTGACACCCCACTGAGGAAAAACTAACTTGATGTATTGCTTACAATTTGGCAGAAGTCTCTGAAGGGCTGGAAGGTCCAGCATGCCACACAGCCTATGACTTGAGAACCATCAGTTCACTGAGAAGGCCCAGAGAAGTGAATGGCTTTTTCCAAGGTCACACAGCAAATGATGAAATGAACTCACACTTAATCTGGGGCCTTTCCCTCTAAAACTGATGTCCTTTTCCACTGCACTGTTCTCTGTTCTCAACAACTGAACAGCTCTTATTGGAGAGACATATGTGCACACACATAGACTGAGATACTCATTATGGGGCTGTGTGGCATTGGAAGGCCAAGGCAACAGAACTTCAGGGAGCCCCCAGTGTCCACTCCTGAGAATACTTCCCTGTCCTTCCTGCCTGCAGTGTCCCTGTGAGCGCAGAGAGGTGGGGCTGCCCTGATCCAGATCACCTTCCCTGGAGACAGCTAGACCTGCGCCTACTAGTGGGGGGACCTGATGAGAAACTGAGCAGAGTTCTGAGCCTCCTTTTGTGTCAGTTTCCTTCACCGTCTGATGGGGACGATTGCACCAACCTTGCACAGTTGTCCACAGGATGACAGGAAGCCACATAAAATCTAAGGGATTCAGAAAACGTGATTGTTCAATTACCTACCAGCAGTGCACCAACTATCTAGCCGTCTGTGGGAATCATGCCAGAAATAAACCCTTATGGAGTTTATAATCTCCCTGGGGTCGGGGTAGACACGTGCACACAAAACACACACGAACAATACCCACAAGCACACCCCCGACACCTCTCTTTCTAGAGAACAATTATTTAGGGACATGCACACTTACAGAATGTTAGGTCTAGAAAAGCCCAGGGATCATCCAATTCAGTGGTTTCTAAGAGTTTGTTTTTTTTAAATCCCTGAGACCCTTTGCTAAAAGGATCCTCCATGGAAATTCAGTGTGCAAAGCACTCAGCTGCGATAATTGAAGAAGACAGTGGAGCCAAAATCTCATCTGTCCACACCTACATTCTACCTCCGCCATCCCCACAAATGAACGTCCATCGAACCCTCCAGGCTGGTCCTAAGGGGGCTTCTTGGAACCTTGGAGTGTTAGCTAAAACTCCCCACATCCCACTCAAATGTTTCATAATATAGTATGGAAACTGAGAGGAAGAAACATATACCCAGTGTCCAGATCCAGTGGTCAAAGAGGGAACACCGTGGGGGCATCAAAACAGGAGGCGGATAGAGTCGGGAATGTGGTGCTGAGTTCCAGCCCCCACTCTGCCTCTAGGCACCTGTCCTTGTGCCTCCATCTCTTTACCTCTCTGGGTCCCTACTTCCTCCGCTATAGATTGAGGGAGTGTACTGAATACTCTTCATGAAAAGTTGTTTTCAGGTCCCCAGTTCTGCGGCCCAATAATGTCAAGCCCTAGAAAACGTCTCAGGAAAGAATGAGCTACCCTCCTGTGACCACAGTTGCTGATGTTCCACGTGGTCAGGCCCAGAAATCACACTCGGAGGTCTCGAAAGACACACAGGGAGCAGCAGCTTTGCAGCAGATGCCTCTGCAAGAATCAAAGATGGTGTCCACACCTGCTGGGCATGGGCCACTGGGTGACGGCCATGGGGCACAGAGACACCTGGAAAGCTGAGCAATGGTGTGTCTTTGGAAAGGATACGTCTCTGTCGGAGAGGGGGAAGGGGTACTTCACTTGCCAGTAGACCACTGCCTGTCCATTGCATCCCTCTTCGTAGAGTTCTGAAAAACAAGAACAAAAACAAAAGAAGTTACCGCATCTGGAAGCCCCTTAGGCTTCAATTAACAAGAAGGTTTGACATGATGCCTTTGTAGGGAATGATAAACCACTAACTCACAAGGCATAGAATTCTACAAAAAAGTCACATAGATTCGTTACCACTGAAAGCTTTTTGCCCAGTGGCAGAGTCTAGTAGGTAAAAAAACGCAGTAAAAGTAAAAGAACCCAACAAAACTTGTTCATCATGTAGCATAAACAACATTCTCAAATACAATGCGACGAGACAACATTTGGCATCCAAGAATAGTTTCAGGTTTACAATATACAAGCAGACTCACAGACATAGAAAAGAAAGTTATGGTTACCGGGGGCCAGGAGGGAGGAGGGATAAATTGGGAGCTCGAGATTTGCAGATACTAACAACCATATATAAACTAGATAAACAATAAGGGCCTACTGTTCAGCACAGGGAGCCATATTCAATATCTTGTAATAATCTATAATGAAAAATAATATATATATATTTGCATAACTGAATATATATATATATATTTGTGTAACTGAATCACTATGCTTTACACCAGAAACTAACAATACTGTAAATCAACTATACTTCAATTTAAAAAAAAATCATAGTAACCACCAGAGGTCACTAGAGCACCAAGAGTTTTACTGTTAAGCCCTTTCTCCCCTCTTCAGATTTATTGACAGGTAGCCTGGGATTGAGTCACCCAGTCTAGTGAGTTCAGCTGGGAAATGAAGGTTCCAGAAAATTCAGTGTCATTCCTCAACTGCTAGAAAGTGGTATAAATGTGATTAACCTGAAGTTTCTTGCCTCTCTCCCATGTCGTTTTAAATCACAGCTACAGTGACCAAATCTCCTTAATATCCACCATGCGACTGAGTGCAATGAGCAGCAGCTCTTGCAGGGAGATAGCAAAGGAATTCGAGGACATACAGAGCCTCTGCCCCCAAGCTGTGCAGAAAGCTTCTAACTGACCCTTTAGAGAAGGAGCCAAGCCAAGGCTGCTGAAGAAACCAAGGGAGGCCCTTGAGGAGATGCTGACTGAGGAAATGTGTTACTTAATTCAGCTCTTGAAAGAGAGAAACCCTATTGGAAGAAAACCATGGAGTAAAGAGCTTGCCAGCCCATCGGGACAAGAGGCTGAGGACGCCTTTGAAAGGAAGGGAGGAGTGGACATCTATTGCTTTTGCTGCTCAGCTTTGACTCCCCTCCTCCTGGACCCGTATCTCAGTCTCCTCCAGGGCATCACCCCTCCTCTCTTCTCCACAATGTGGTTTAAGCAGGACTGACTCAGCATTAATATCAGGACTGGGAAATTGAGCCAGCCATGGCCACATGGATTGGTTCAAGGATGGTACCTCTGGTCAGAGTCTTAGCTTAGCTCTAGCAAGTTTACACCAAAAAGTGGTTTAATAAAGGCTCTGAGGTAGGTCACAGAAGATCTGGGAGGACCAGAGCTAGGGTTAGAACCTCAGGATTGTCCCTGAGAAGCTAAATGGATGCTGCCTCTGGACCATACTCCATAGCAGGCGCTGCTGACGCCAAGGAACAAACATCAGAGGCTCTGCCAAGGTCTGGAGCACATGACCGGATCTCGGCTGCTCAGGAGATGGACAGAGAACATCTGCCTTCTCCCTGGGATAGGAGGGCATCACAATTCCCTTAGATTGGAAGAGTATTTGAAAACACTAAGAGACCCAGAACCATGACAAACATTCCCAGGAAACAAGCATGTGGTCCATGCTGAGGTGCTAAGGGTAAGTCTGGGGCTCCGGCAGCCGTCAGGGAAGTTCCTCTTCCCCCGGGGCTGTGTATGTGGTTAGAGTGTAAGCCTGCATCTCCTGATGGCCATCTCAGCCAGGACATAAGAATCTGCCCGAGAATTAGGTCAACACTGGAGAAAACAGAGTCAAGACGCAGAAATGAAGTACTGGATGCAGCTGTCCGGGAAGCCAGATACCCATGGATTTTCAATGCCATGAACCAATAAACCCTTTTTCCTTTTCTGACACTGGCACTTGTTAGCTTTTGGTTACTTGCAGCCCAGAGTCCTGACCACAGTGAGGGTCTGTCAGGGCTTCTGTGCCCCTGGGCTATCTGCGTACCTGTTCCACTGTGACTGGGACGGCAGAGGCTGCTCCCTGCTCTGGGGGCAGGAGGATCCCCTAGCTAATGCCTCTCGTAACCTCCATCAGTTACAGGGTAAAAATCTAAGGACTGCAGCCTGGTGGCCAGTTTAGGCCCTTGGGGATGTGGACCCTTCTCCCATTCTCGTTCCAGATTCTGCTACCCTGACAACCTAACAGCACCCGAGGACTCCCATTTTTTTAATGTTTCGTGCTGTTACTCATGTCTTCCTCACTCTACTCATGCTGTTTCTCACTCAACTCATGCTGCTCCTTGCAACATAAATGCCCTTAAACCACTCTCCCCCTCACTCTCTCACCCCCTCACATATATGTATTCTTGTTGTCTCTAAAACTTTGACTCCACTTGTAAAACAAAGCTTGAAAAACAAATTTCTTCTGTATAGCACAGGGAACTATATTCACTATCTTGTAATAAATTTTAATGAAAAAAATAGGAAAATGAATATATGTATGTATATGCATGACTGAGACATTGTGCCAGAAATTCATCAGAAATTGGCACTGTAACTGACATCATAACTGACTATACTTCAATAAACAAACAAACAAAGCTCAGACACCACCTCCTCCAAGAAGCCTTCCGTGGCTTCCCCTAGGTACAAAGGATGATGATGAACTTATAGTAAGAGCAAAGTAGCCCTCAGAGCAAAATGGAGAGCGAATCTAAGAGTATGCCAGGAGCAGGTCCTAGGAATAGCAAAGTCACATTTGAGCCTGGCACTTTAAGATGTTTATGCCAAAATTAAAAATGAAACATAATACAGTAGAAATTAAGCCTATCGCTTTCTAACGACTAGAAGAAATACTAATAGACTCTACTTTCTAATTTGTTGTTGTCACTCACCTTTAACATATTGGTCCCACTGTTTTCTGTAGTCTAAGTCCATATAGACGTCTGCCAGTACAGCCGGTGGGCAATCCTCCAGAACGCCAAAGACCTTATACTCATAAAGTCCAGTCTGCTGTAGAAACAGAACAGCAGGGACAACCTATTGATTCCCACGTGGCGATGACACAGCACATGCAAAACAGCTGTTCGTGCAGCACCATTATTGAGCATCTGCTCTGTGGTCTTGGGGACACAGTGGTGTAAAAGCTGATGTGGATTCTGCTCTCGGGGGTCTTATATTTGGCCTTAGGCACTCTTGGTGGTGAGAGCTATATGCTATCCAGGTAATTTAGGGGATAGAAGAAGGGTTATATGACAAATGGCGCCTGGTTTTGGAGGGCTGGGGGTGGGTCCTATATTATCAGGTGTCCAGGAATTGCCTCTGTGAGGGAGTTCTCAGAGCAGATTGTTCTCACTATTGGAAGGAACCGGCTGTGGGAAGAAGAGAAAGCCCACTCCTGGTTGGGAGAGGGCCCCCGGGTGGGTGGATTGGCTTGCTCAGAGAACAGAAAGCAGGGGGCCCAGAGAACTGTGGTGTGGAAGAGCAGCAGGAGCTGAGGTCAGAGAGGGGAGCCGGGGCTGGGCCCAAAGGACTCTATAAGCCAGGGGAAAGGGGCAAAGATTCTTTCCTAACTACCATGGAAAGCCAACAAAACAGGGGAGTGACATTTCAAAGATGACTCTTGCCACCTGGTAGAAAGTAGGTCATAAGGGAGCAAGGAGCTGGGTCAGAAGACCAGTGCAATGGTCCAGATAGAAGATGATGGCGATTGGACAGGGGGGAAACAACAGTGATGGGCAGAAGTCAGTGATTTGGGAACATACTTTGGAAGCAATGTCAACAGGAATTGCTGACAGATTGCTGTCGGGACAGAGAAGACAAAGAATTGAGGGTAACGCTTAGAACCTTTTGCTTAGACAACCAGGTAGAAGGGAGCCCCACTTTCTAAGACAGAGAAAACTTACAGAAGAGGTGATTTGTAGGCTGTGGAATAACCAAGAGTTCTACTTTGGGCAAGTCGAGCTTGAGATGCTTATCAAACATCCAGGTGGGGGCGTCACATAGGCAGCTAGTGCTCAAGATTCAGACCACTATTCTGGATACCCACAGGGTGTAAAGAAACCCAACACTTTGTTGTACCAACTTAAAGACAGACTTTTCCAACAACTGTCTCTTTTTTTCTATGAACAACTCGTGTATGAAAGAATGAAAGGGGGAAAGAAACACCAGCTTCAATCATATTGGTCCCTTCTAGTCAGAAAAAGCCCATTTCTAGGTTCCTAAGTACAAGAGAATGCCCTTGTTTTCACGTTGAGCTGTATCCTCCGTATCTTTGTGAGGGTTCTGGGCTGGGGTCGGACGACCACACACTTCACTCTCTGCACGATGGTAACTAACAATTCTTACCCTCCCCTTGCCTAAAGGCTCTATGGTTAAGTTTAAACTGATGGCCTTTAGATTAATTTCAATTCAAAAGCAAACAAAACAAACACACAAAAATGAAACTTTCAGGTGGACTCACTCTTCTACCTGCTAACGCAATGTCATTGGCTAATTGAACATGAACGAACCTATCTTTTAAAACACCTTTCCAGGGACTTACATGAAGTCAAGGGGTAAACACGGTGAATCTTTCTAGAGATCCTGAGGCTTCAAGGGTCTCCTGGCATAACCCAGGGATAAGCACATCCCAGTTTAGGGATCTCAGATGTATTTAAGAATACCTGGCAGGAAGTGGAAGGTAAAATGGAAACTGAAGTCATAAGGATGTCTCAGCTCTACAAATATGTGGCTTTAGAACAAGGGTTTCCAACCAGCAAATGATAGACTGGTAGATCTGACCCCCTTATGTGCTGTGCCATGGTTGTCCCACAGGAAGGGCAGGACCCGGGAGAAACATCTTCATCCCCTCCTGTCCCCTCCCTCCCCCTCACAGATGGGAAGATGGTGAGGGTTTACACATACCACACACCTACACCCACACGTTTTGATCAGCCTTGGAAGGGAGACAATTAGCTTCTGTTCAGGAAGAGTGGGGCCCCGTTTTCCACACATACTGAGCAAAAGGGATAATTATGTATTGAGATAATCTCTCCAATTTCACATGAGTTAGGATATCTGGATGAATGAAGACACACTGTTTCCGTGAACTGGCTCCCCTCCCCTCCTGAATGCAGATTCGGCCCTTAGTGACCTCAGTCCCGCACATATCACAGAAGTGAAAAACAGAAAGCCTTCTAGGAAGAGAAGAATAGAACAAAGTGATTTCCATGATTACCGGAGAAAGAACTATTGTGATAGCTCCCTTTAAACACTCCCTTCCTAGCAGAACCGAGAGATGCCAGACACTAGAGGACAAAATGCTTGGTGACACCTTCCCTAGTCCATCAATAAAGTATTCTTTCTAGGCACTGAGGAGCCTCACCCAAATTCTTGGATCAAAGCACTTTGTCACCTATCAATTATTTTAGAAGATCTCAGCAAATGAACTCGTGTTTGTATTATGTCTCTGAAAAAAAAATTAAGTGAACTGTTAATAATTATAAAAATAATTCATACGCATTAAGGACAATTAAAAAATGCCAAAGAGAATAAAGAAACTTAAAATGGCATGTACCCCATAATCCATAAATGCCTAATGGTAATATCTGATGTATTACTTTTGAGTAAATAATAATTCTATATGTAACAAAATGGGAGTAATATGGTATAAAGAGCTTGTATTCTTATTTTTAACAACATGCAATGAAGAGCATGAAGCTGTGGAGAGATCACACCTAAGTTAATTATTCTTGGAAGTTATATATGTTTCCATACAGTTTGACAAATATGAATCTTACTGAAACAATTACTCCATATGGACCAACTTGGTCCATAATTCTAACATTTTCATTAGGAAAAGGAGGATGATACTTCCTTAGGAAGAAATTTCAGGGTAAAGACATTAACATTTTAAGGTTTTTTATACTTTTTATAAATTGTTAAGAAAGGTTTTCATCTGTTTACACTTTCACTAGTAGCAAAGGAGCATCTCATGAAGACTGGATTCCACTGTTTTTACAATCAAATTAATAGGAAAAGAAAACAAGTTGTGTATTTATTTGGGCAATGTTTTTACTATTGATATGTAAGTCTCCTTTAAATTAGAGAGATAAACTCTTTGCAACGTTTGTTGCTGATATGTCTGCAAGTTTACTACCATTTCAATAAACAAGCTTACTCAAGAGGTTCTTGGCTTTTCCTGAAGCTCCCCCTGAAAACCACTTCTAAGAAAGGCTCAATTTTTTATCCAAAGTAAAACATGCTGCTTACTTTTCTAATGCTCATTTATAGGATATTTAATTTCCTGCATTTCAGACAGTAAAAGAATTACTCAATGGTAGAGAATCAGTCAATATCAAGTGTAGAATATAATTACCAGAAGAAACAGAAGATGTGTTATAGCATATGCTCTCTTTCCTGCTAAGAGAACCCCTATGGCCTATGATAACTTTCTTGGTCTTCTGTGCAGGCAGAGATACTATAAGACACCTCCTTCCTGTTTTGAGTATGAATAGGATGTCTGGAGCTACAGCAGCTATTTTGGGACTAAGAGACAACAAACATGAGAAGGCAGAGTGAAAAAGACAAAGAGCTTTACTGGTATCCTTGATCATCTAAACCAATGCCAGCAACTGCTGACCTTTGAACTCCTTCTTAGGTGAGAAAAATAAAACCCCGCTTTGTTTAAGTCCAGTTTTCTGTTACTTGCAGCTAAAAGCAATCCTAATGATTACAAGTGGTACTTAACTGACAATGAATTTTACTTGATTCCTGTGATCCTGGAGAACAGTAGAGGTCAAAAAACACCCTCACCCTTTGTGTTCCAGCAAACAGATTATCACAAAAGGCCCACCTTCCCCGATGACTTAGATGAGACTCACAGAAGCACCCCTTGTTAAGCTATCGCAAGGCCAGACTCAGCACCTCTACATTCCCTTTCATTGACCCATCAATGATTGGCTAAACTGCTTATTCCAAGGATCAATCAGAATAAAGTGCTTGTTAACCAAACTGGTTAAACATCTCTCTCCCCTTCAGGACTCTAAACTTTGGCCCACCCTAAGCCTGAACCAGTAGCCAGCTCCTCCTGAGAACAGACTGGCCCCTGGGTAAAACACTCTCTTTTCTAGTCTCCAGCCAGGCCACCTTCATCTCCCTTCCCCACACATGGCTTCCACCTTGCTAACTGCTCTCTATAAAAGAAAGACCTTCCTGCCTCACTCCTGAGACACTCATGGAGCTTATGGTCAAAGTATTCTTCCTATTAGAACAACCCCAACCTTGGCAATAATCCTTTTGAATAAAAATCCTTGCTTACCAAGTCTAGATTTGTTTCTTATTTGACATCACTTTAAAGTAGAAAAGTAGGATGAAAAAATAGTTCTGATAAGACTTATGAACATTTACAAGGAAATAGGATTCTGTGTTAAATTTGTTAAAGTAGTACAGACTTACATAAACGTTACTAAAATGTATTGTCAAAGAAGAGAAGCAAGGGATAATGGGCACTATTAATGGACATTAAATTGAAGTATATTTAATTTTGCATACAGTGCTTGAAATGCACATATTTTATAACAGAAAGTACCAACTCCTTCCACAGAAAAAAATTTATGGACTTCCTGGGACCCACTGTGTTCTTGGCCTTGAGGGAACATCAGGCACAGGCTTGTACTTGGCTTTTCAGCTGGTACTTCCCTTGGTGATCTGTCAGCAGTCATCGCAACAGCCGCGGATTCTGCTTGGAAGTCTTCCAGTCACTTCAACCTGCTATAAATTCTTTCAATAATGCTAGTATTTGTTTCTCTAAATACAGTGCAGTTTCCAGTTTTACATTCATTATCTCGTATAATCTTTAACGAAGCCCTGTGATATCGACAGGGACACTGGTGTGGTCTCCACCTTTATATGAGGAAGTGAAACTCAGAGAGGCTACATTACTTGCCTGAGCCCAACAGTTAGCACTTGGGACAGCCAGAAAGAGGGCAACACTCTCCGCCCACCACAATGTCTTCTAATTTAATTCTACT